CAGATGTTGGCCAGGGCTGTAGTTACCTGAAGACCTGACTGGGCCTCAAGGATCCACTTCTGAGACAGTTCACCCATATGACTGAGAGTTTGTGCTGGCTGTGGGCAGGAGGCTTCAGTTCCTCACCAAGGAGACCTCTCCCTAGAACTGCTTGAGTATCCTCACATGGCAGCTGGCTTCCCCCAGAATGAGTGATCCAAGAGAGGAGCAGAAACAGCAATGTCTTTTATGACCTAGCTTTAAGTCACACACTACCATTTTTGCAATATCCTACTGGTGACACAGGTCAGCCCTATTTGGTGTGGAAGAGGACTAAACAGAGCCAGAATAAGCAGGAAGCAAGAATTTTGGACAATTCTGGTGGCCATTTTGGAAACTGGCTAGCACAGATTAATAGATGGGAGTGGGAAAACTAGCTCACTCTATGAAGAACAAAAAAGTTACATCCCTTTGTAATTCATATTTATAACAGTGAATTCTATTAGATAAAAAGACTCACATATGAAAGATAAAACTATAGAGATATTAAAATGTAGAACAGAAAAAAACCTTCTTAAACAAGATCTTAAACGAATACGCACTTAGGAAAAAAAAGAAGGAATTTAACTACATTAAAATCAAGAATTTCTCCAGTTGACAATGGAACATGTGACCTTACAAATAGCCCCATGTAATAATGTTGAAGGAATGATAGAATTATAATTATTTTACAACTCTAATGAAATTATTGATTCAGGTAAGGGTAATCAGTTGCTGTGTGGTTGACAGGTAACTGTCATTCATACAGTGCCAAAATAACATCACACAGATTACTTTATAGTTAGCAACAAGGGAATATAACTACAATGGAAGGATCACACCAACATCGCCTGAATCAAGGGGCTAATTCTGAGTATCACTAATAATAAGTCATATTAACAATATTATGCCCTGGCCGATGTGGCTCAGTGGATTGAGCACCAGCCTGCGCACCAAATGGTTGACAGTTCAATTCCCAGTCAGGGCACATTGCAGGCCAGGTCCCCAGTAGGGGGCATGCTAGAGGCAACCACAAACTGATGTTTCTCTCCCTCTCTTTCTGTCTTTCTCCCCCCTCCTAGAAATGAATGAATAAAATCTTACAAAAAAACCCCATTATGGATGTGTCCATATAACATAAAATGAAATATATAAAATTACCTAAAATGTATTCTAATGAAAATGTTTAATATGTTTAATATCAAGCCTTTAAATCCATCATTTAGCTTACAGAAAATTCAGAATGGGGCCCATTACAAACCAAATGATACCACGAGTAAACAACCAGGCAAATTTGGAAACTAGGGGATTGTGCAGAACCACTGGTGGTCTCTTCAACAAGTCAGCATCATGAGAAAAAAGGGACTGTTTGGGGTTGGAGGAGCCTTGAAGAACACAATAACCAGACATGATGCAAGGATCTAGACTGGGTCCTTATTTAGATGAGCAAGCTATAAAAGAAATTTCTGGAATGAATGGAGAAATTCGCATATACCCTGGATTTAGACAAGATAAATTTTATTGACATGGAAAGATGGCAATTATTAACAAACAAAGCAGATTACAAACAGCACATATGACATGACTGTATTTTGGCACATGCACACGCTCACATACACAAACACCCAAAAAGACCTTGAAGGACATTTGCTACTTTTATATTTTTAATCACCTAAATTTTAATTTTCTAAATTTCTATAACATATACATAGTGCTTAAAAATAATAAAAGGTTATTTACAATAATAAATCAAGGATTTCCATTCAACAACAGACACTACAGGCAGCTGACATTCTAAGAGAAAACAACTGGCAACATCTAAAACTGACTAGAGGCCCTGGCCAGGCAGCTCAGCTGGTTGGAGCATTGTCCCGATGCATAGAGGTTGAGGGTTCAATCCCTGGTCAGAGCACATTCATTGGTTGCAAGAATCAACGAATGAATGCATGGATGAGCAGAACAACAAACTATTGTTTCTCTCTTAAACAGATAAATAAACAAATAAATAAGGAGAAAATTACATAAAAATAAAACTGACTAGAAATGATCTGAAGTAGACTTTTTCAATTGGGGTTCTTCAACTGAATCTGAAAACCCAGCAAATAACATGAGTAACTATTTTCTCAGTTCTCTCAATGATGATAGGTAAATAGTACTACTTTAGATATATAAGAAAACAGTAAATTTATTATGTAGAATACATGCCTTAGGGTAAGAAGACTTAATTCTCCTTATGAACTAAACTAAAATATACAAGGATCACCTGTAAAACAACCAGATTGGGGGAAAAAACCCTCAGTAGAAAATTTGGGAAAGAATATGAATAGGCAATTCATAGAAGGGGAAACCACAAAAAACTAATATATGAAAATATCTCATTAGTAATCAGAGGCATGCAAATAAAAATGAGATCACTCTATACCAATTAGATTGGCAAAATTAGAAGAGTGGATCATACTGTGCAGAAATGTGCAGAAACAAGATCCCTTATGCACTGCTGATTAAGAGTATAAAGTGCTACAGCCATTTAGGAGAGTAATCTTGATGATACTGTTGAAAGTCATTTGCATGTGTCCTGTGACCCAGCAATTTCACTCCCAGCTACAATCATGAGAAACCCTGACCCAGCACCCACTAGGGCACATGTATAGGGATACTAATGGTGGCACTGTTTGTTGGGGCAGGAAGTGGGGAGGCAATCTAGGTCACCATCCTCTAGTATGTAGAGCAGCATAAATAAATCTTCAAAAAAGTGCCCTGGCTGGTGTAGCTCAGTGGATTGAGCAAGGGCCTGCGAACTAAGGGACCATGGTTCGATTCCCGGTTGGGGCATGTGCTTGGGTTGCGGGCCAGTTTCCAGCAGGGGGCACACGAGAGGCAACCACACAATGATGTTTCTCCTCCTCTCTCCTTCCCTTCCCCTCTAAAGATAAATTAATAAAATCTTAAAAAACAAAAACAAAAAAGTGTTGAATTACTCAGTACGAAACAAAACACACAATTCGTAATTCAATGCCACTTATGGAAAGTTAAAATGCATATAAAACAATGTTTTCGCTGTCCTGACTGGTAGGGCTCAGTGGTTGGGTGTCGTCCCATAAACTGAAAAGTCATTAGTTCAGTCCCCAGTAAGGGCATATGCCTGGGTCAGGCAGTGTTGCAGGTCAGGTTGTGGGTGTATAAGAGACAACCAATCGATATTTCTCTCCCTCTCTTTCTTCCTCCATTCCCTCTCTCTAAAAATAAATAAATAAAACCTTTTAAAAAAATTTAAGAATGCTTTAGCTTTTCATGGGTACAAACATAATCCAAGCATATGTATCAAAACATTAGAATTGGAAGGATACTTATGGGGGAAGGGACATGGCAGGGGATTGAAAATGAAGGAAAAAGATAAAAGATTTCATAGATGATTAAGTGTCATGCATTGAGGAGTATGATGAACTCAATATTCTGTACCTAAATCTTAAAAACAAAAACCTCCAACAATCAAGCAAACACTAGTCAAGTGAGGTGGCGATGGGAATGGTCTCAGGGAAACCTGGAAAAGAGAAAGCTGGAGTACAGAAGAAAAAGCACTTGTACTTGGAAGTCAGATAACCTGGGGATGAATGTGAGCTCTACACTTAGTATCTCTTTGACCTTGGATGTACCCCCAACTTGCCTCATTTTTAAACAAATATCAAACAAGGGCACAAGATGTACATACAAGCCAGAGAGCAGAATTACTCCTGACACACAGGAGTAATTCTGTGGGTGTGAAAACATTAGATAAACATTAGATTCAGGAGTGGGTGTGAGATAACATTAGATAAATGTAAAACTATAGCTCAGGAATGTACTTCCAAGAACAACTAGTTCAAACTGCAAGTGGTAAGCCATTAATGGGTCTCAAACAGCATTAACAGTAAAAAAAGAAAACAGTATGTCAGAGTGTATCACTGAAAATATCATTTTATAAGTTATATATATATATATATATATATATATATATATATATAGCATTTTTTCTATGGGAGGCAGTCACAAAGTTTGAAAAACATAGATAGAGCCCAAAGAAATTCTATACTTTTGGATTCCAAGAATAAGTATTTCTCAAGATAACAGACACTTGCTCACAGTTGCCACCTTTTAATATATAAAGAACATCAAAAAAGAAACCCTTATAATCTCCATTAATATTGTATCATAAAAGGGTATTTTTAACATTGTAAAAACAGGACAGAATAAAAGGCTTTATGTAAAACTCACTACATTGTACATAGTTCCTCGTTTTCCTATCTTTTGGAATATGAGAACAGAATGCCAGAGGTAAGAATTGACTCACTCAAGATTACCCAGTCAGCTATGGTGGAGGTGACACTTAACCCGTATATCCTCAGAACCCTATGAGATCCACAGAAATGAAGCACAGAGGTGGGGCTCTGGAACCCCCAACCCTGTTTAATTGGGGGTGGCCCTGCTTCTATGAGACTTCATTGCAAAAAAATTTTTAAGCCTCTGGGGTGGGGTGGGGTATTGCCTGCCAGGATAGAACCAGATTGCAGAGGTCATTATATTCCAGTTTAAATTTAGATTTTTTTCCCTAGTGGCACAAGAGAGTTATCTATGATTTGATTTCTGGGCAAAAGGGAGAATAGATTGGGATTATGTCTGAGGATAATTAATTAGGTGGTAGTATAAAAACTGGTTTGGCCAAGTAGAAACAACAAGAAGCAGAGAGAGAAGTCATTTAACCACCAAAACAGTCTTAGCATGAGATGTTGAGGGGGACCCCGGCTGAGGCAGCAGGAATACAGGAGACAGCACCCACAAATTTTCTGGGGCCATGGCTAGTGAAAGCCGGGCCAGAAGCAGCCTCTCTAGGTAGTACCCCATATTTCCTTTTATTCTTTTAATGTCCTTTTATCTAGCTACTTAAGCCGTTCTCCAGAGACATGGGCACGGGACTGGAACTCAGGAGGTGGTGAAGGGACCCTCACCTGCAGTGCCAGCTGGCAGTCCTCAATCAGGCCCTGTACCAGGTAGTATCGTGCTTCGCCTAGTAGCTCCCCCAGTTCTCTGGTGCTCTCAGGCAGTGGAACCGACCCATCCCGAAGGTAGTTGAGGATTGTACCAAAGTGGCGGCCACTACGGTCAATCAGCACCCAACCTGGTGGGGTGGGGAGAGGAAAGATAAAGGATAGCTTTTCTGGGGGCCCTGGAACTACTAAATTTTTATGAAAAGAAGGATTCTAAAGCTACAAGTCTGAATTTTTCTCAGACTTCTGCCTTATCCAAGAATATACTGTTAAAACATGCCCAGTGAGTGTTCCCCACAGACCCCTTTTCAACCCTAAAGAGTACTGATTCCCTCCCAAGTCTGTCCTACACTGAGAAGGTTCTCACCATGAGAAAGTTCTTCCAGATTACTTTATCAATAACCCTCTAACCTTTCATGTTAACTCTAGCCATTCTATTTAATTGAAAGGTCTACCCCACCCTCTAAAATCACTACTATTTTAACCTTTATATTCACCATAGAACTTAGTACTATCTGGAATTACATGCCCCCTTTCTTTTTGTATGCTTATTTGTTTACTGTTATCCCCTGTCCCCACAAAAAAGTAAACTCAGTAATCTCCTCAGATTCATTTACCAAAACAAAGTATCTTCAGCACTGCCACTTTACAAGTACCTACTCAATAAGTAATTTCTTCACCTTTAGATTTTTGAAAACTGACCTCCACCCCCCAGATGTTTACTTTCCTGTTCTCACAATCCTTCTTAACCCCCTCTGAATTCCAGCCCCCCACCGAACTTTAAGCTTCCACTTGGGCATGTGGGGCTCAAACCTGAATGCAACACTCCAAGAAGTAAAGTTCACCTGCCAAAGAGAACTCTCCACCCTCCACTCCGGTGTCCCTGGCAAACCCAGAGCAGCCTTCTCCTTCTACAATCTGGATTTACAGATGGATTCCCAGAGTGTGTCAGGGGAGACACAGAGACCAACGACATCCTCCAACTCTCCGGGCTGGTTGTTAGCAGTGCTAAATTAGAGTGGGAAACAAAGGGCTAGCCAGTTGGAAAAAAACTGATGAAGGTGGCCTGGCAGGGTGCTGCTGGCAGCAGGGCTGGTTCCCAAGTTTTTTTGAGCTGAGGAGTGAAGGGTGGGAAAACTGGGTGGGAGTGATAATGAAAATTCTGAAGTGACATGTTGAATCACTCACCATAGCGCCTGGCAGAGCTGGGGAGGTAAAGTTGTTCCCTAAGTGTATGTAGGTTATTGCTGGGGGTAAAGACTGGAAGAGGAAGGAGATTATGAATGAAAAGGGGTAGATGAGATCGGGTGTGGGGGTTGATGGAGGTGAGAATGACCTGACTGGATGGTGGTGAAAAGAGAGAAGGGGCAAGAAGACACTGGGCGAGGAAAAGACTAAGGGTAAGCATCCGGAGGATGGAAGACAGCACAAGCGAGGGTATCGCAGTACCTCCTGCGTCCGTGAGTACCTCCGCGCGGCCGCTGAACATGGTCTTGAGCATGGTGTCCTGTCCCGTGAGGGTGCGCAGCGTCGTGTAGTGCAGCGAGCCCCCCACATTCAGCTTCACATACTTGCTGTTCGGAGTCTGTGGCTTGAGACCGTCCGCGACGGAGCCGGGCTCGAATCCCCAGGGCTTAGGGACTTCCAGGGAAAGGGCCTCGGCAGCCGCCGGGTCGGAGGCCTCCGCCGACATGCCAGGTACTCGCGGCGGCCGGCGACCTTAGGCTCTCTCCGTGCCCTCCGCTCCCAAAGACCCCGCACCCGAACCCCCTGGCCAGACTGCTGGACCGACACGCCCACACGTCGCCGCTACTCAGCAACATTGGCCATCAGTCCCAACACGCCTGCACCTCCCCAAACCCTCAGCCCAGCATCTGCGCAGGCGCCTCAAAGGTCGGCGCCCAGCCTCGAGAGCCCGGAAGTGCGGAGCAAGCGTATTGGCCTTCCGCTGGGTGAGGGGTCAGGCGGCGGGCGGCGGGCTGCGTCAGAGCTGGGGTCACGTAAGGTGCCCTCAAATGAAGTGCGCTCTGGTCGTTAGTACTGGAGAGCAGATCCCGGAGGTACCTGGCCACCTGCCTGACGCGGTCAGCAACGTCCAGTCTGGGAGTTGGGTTTCTGCTCCCAGGGCGGTTCCCGCACTGGTCGGGAAGACTGAGGCCCAGAGTGGCAGGCGATTGGGCAACGTATCCCGCCTGCCAGCCCCTCAAAAAAACGAAAAAACAAAAGTCCAGCTGAGTGAAGATCAAGTTGGCTTTATTCAGCAATTCATGAATCAGCAGCTCATGTAGCAAATAGGAAGGCACTCCGCAAGCTACAGAAAAAAGGTTTTCAAAGGCAAAAAGGAGGCAAAAAAAAGAAAAAAACTATTAGCAAAGAATGCACTGTTTCAGGCAAGGTCGCCCTCCCAAGGGGACTGGAGGGGGTCATTTCATGTTGACAGGTTAAAAGTTACATTCCTGGGAGATCTTGAGGTTGCAGTTAGGTTAGGTATTAAGTCTTGCTTCGCTGATGGGGGGGTTAGCACAGGTGACTCCCATTCTGGGCCTGTTGTTTCTTTTTAACAAGGCGGACGAGGAGTGGCGTCCCGGGGAGGAGGCAATAGTGCTAAAACATGCAGAGGACTGTGAGTAGGTAAGATCATCACGGAGGGCCTCTCTGAGGAGGTGATACTGAGCAGAAGCTGAGAAGAAACGGCCAGGAAGAAGTGGGAGGGCAGAGTTTCGGGCAGAGAGAAGGGCAAATACAAAGACAGGAACAAGCTTGGTGTATTTAAGGAGTAGAAAGAATGTCAGGGATGGCTGCAGCAACTGGGTAAAAGTTCTTAGATCTCAGCTAATGTGGTGAGATACCTAACCCTGAAAGAAAGAAGTAAGATGAAACATGTTGACAACAAAGTGTGGTGAGAAATGTGATGTAACCATACAGTTTAATGTCTAGCAGGAAGCTTTGTTGCAGGGAAAACTAAACACAGAATTATAGAACTGTAGGGAGGAAGTGATGTGTTGTGTCCCTGAGAACTGCCTTGTTTAATCTCTTTTGTCCAGAATCAGGACATTTTCTTTGGTCTCTCATCAGTGACAGTCGGTTTTTGGACAAGTTCTGGAGGTACAAGGTTGCAGAGCACCATCCTTATGGATCCTTGAGCCAACTAAATCTGGGCCAGATACCTGCTTCCTTTGTGTTTTCTCACGGTTACTCTAATTTGTATCCTTATCTGCCCAACTTATACAGTTTCACTAGGGACGGTTTAGAATTGCAGTGGCCATTTGGGGTAAGTTTTGACAAGAACAAGATTGTTTATTTGAGAGGTACCTCAGAACAAAAAGGGAAAAAACTGTCATGAGGAAATTGTCTTGTTTGTCAAGCAGGGATTATTTTGCTTAACATAGGCCATATTTTAATTGTGTGCTTTGTACATTAATAAATGCTGCCTTTAAATTTTTTTAAATTTATTTTTAGAGGGAGGAAGAGAAGGAGAAAGAGGAAGAGAAACCAATGCGTGAGATGCATCAGTGGATCCGTGCCTCCCACAAGCCCCCAACTGGGGACCTGGCCTGCAACCCAGGCGTGTGTCCTGACTGGGGGGGTCAAAACTGTGACCTTTCAGTTCAATCCACTGAACCACACCAGCCAGGGCTAAATGCTGACTTTTTAATTGTGTAGCTCTATTAATTTGTCGAGTGCCTGCTGTCTTTTCTCCCTGCAGAGTGATCACTGATTAAATTTTACAGTGGAAATTTCATATTTCTCTTAAGTATTTAATAGTTCCCCATCACTGTTTTGCTGTTTGTTTCCCTCTCTTGGAAAATGTTAAACTATTAAAATTTATTCCATGTATATGCGTGCTCTAGGAATAACCAATCTACTTAAATACTTAAAAATGTCTTACAGAATTGTTATACTATATACATTTTCTTTGTGGGCACTTAAAAGTGTATTTATGTAATAGGCTTCATTATTATAATTATAAGATAAGACAAGGCCTTAGTTCCAAGATAAAAGAAGATGTTTGGCATGATCTGTGTCTTTCAATTTGCCATAAAAAATAATGCCAGCACAATATTTTCATTCGTACAAGATCAGGGTTGTTTCAAATGATTTAAACCTTTTAAATTGTTTATATTGACTTTATGAATTGTTACCATAGCTTTCAGTTTTATTTATTGTTTTAAAGTTTATTTTCAGTCACCATGCTGTATATTACTTTCCCAGAATTTCTTTATAATTGGAAGTTTACAAATATATGTTTATATATAACTGGAAGTTTGTACCTTTTAAACATCTTTACCCATTTCCCCCACACCCCGCTCTGGTAACCACCCTTCACTATCCTACCTCTCCCTATCCCATTTTCCTTCTGGTAACCGCCATACTGTTGTTTGTGTCTATGAGGTGTTTTTTTTTTTTCTTAATCCTTTTTCCTTTTTTACCCAGTCCCCCAACTCCCTTCTCCTTTAACACCTGTCAGTCTGTTCTGTGTATGTACGAGTCTGTTTCTATTTTGTTCATTAGAGTCCACATATAAGTGAAATCATATGGTATTTGTCTTTGTCTGACTGGCCTATTTCACTTAGCACAATGCTCTCCAGGTTCATCCATGCTGTCACAAAAGGTAATATTCCCTTTTTATGGCCAAGTAGTATTCCACTGTGTAAATACGCCAACTCTTTTTTATCCACTCATCTACTGATGGACATTGGGCTATTTCTAGATCTTGGCTATTATAAATAACACTGCAATGAACATAGGGGTACATGTATTTTTTCCAAATCAAAATCAGTGTTTTGGGTTTCTTCAGCTGTATCAATGTTTCTTTTCTTAGATATTTATATATTATTTTCTCTACAATTATTCTTCATTTTGCTTTTTCTAAATCCAGGCCCCAAATTTAAACTAATAAAATCATTAGGACATTTTTTATGCCTAAACTATCTTTGGGTTTCTTAAAACTTCCATTAGGTGCCCTGGCTGTTGTGGCTCAGTGGATTGAACACCAGACTGTGAAGCAAAGTGTTGCCAGTTCAATTCCCAGTCAGGGCACGTGCCTGGGTTGCAGGTCAGGTCCCCAGTAGGGGATGCATGAGAGCCAACCACACACTGACGTTTCTCTCACACAAAAATTTGCTACTGTACTCTAAAAAAGACAAAACAATAGAAATAATTAAATTATTTGGAATTCTCTAAATGTTCGTTCAAAATCACTATGAGAGCTCTTTTGTCTAGTAAACTCATACTTTTAAAAAACCTAACAAATCATGCCCTGACTGGTATAGCTCAGTGGATTGAGAATGGGCCTGCAAACCAAAGGGTCACTGGTTTGATTCCCAGTCAGGGCACATGCCTGTATTCTAGGCCAGGTCCCTAGTAGGGGGTATGTCAGAGGCAACCAATCAATGTATCTCTCACACACTGATGTTTTTCTCCCTCTTTTTCTCCTTCCCTTCTCCTCTCTCTAAAAATAAATAAATAAATAAATAAATAAATAAATAAAATCTTTAATACAAAAACCTAACAAATCAGGAGAATTTACTTTCCTAACTTATTTACACATGAGTAAAATAATATAAATATCTGTCAATTATTGTGTGCTTTTCCAGTTAAAAAAAATTATATGTAAGCCAAAGACTGGTATGATAACTACAAAAAGATCTGTTTTCCAGATTTTGGATTCACATGCCCCTTTCCCTTTTTCGTACATGAAAAGTCTGAACAGGCATTAGAGGTACTAATTAATTACAGGGCAATCATAAGAGGCCTACTCCTTATTTCAGTCTTTCATTAGGTCCAGTAGCTAAGGCATATCTACCTCACCTAAGAGCTATAGCAATAATAGCAGAATGTGTGAAACTTTCCCTTGATTTATTTCTATGGTCTTTACTAACTATAATGGTCACCCCATGCTAAAGACTCTTCCATTCTAAAATGCTCAATACTTCTTGATCAGCGGTATCTCTACCTATGAAATATTATTGTTTTCCTTTTACACATCACTGTCCAACACTGTAACCCCATAAATCCTTTCTTTTCTTACACAAAGGGAAGCTTCCCTTAACCAAGGGAAACCCATGGTTGTTTTCCTCTTAGGGAATTATCAAATCCTGCATGGATCTTCTAGATATACTCTAGTAGAGCCCCGATTTAATTGTTTGTTGATGATGATTAACTTTTTAAAAAACGCAAATAGCTAACATTATAATCAGTAGTGAAAGACTGAAAGCTTTTCTTCTAAGATCAGGAACAAGATATGAATGCCCACTTTTGCCATTTCTATTTAACATGGAAGTCCTAACCAGTTAGGCAAGAAAAAGAATTAAAAAGGTATCACATTGGAGAGGAAGAAGTAAAATTATCTTTATTCACAGATGACATAATAATAAGTAGAAAATCAAAGATTTCATACAAGAAGCAGATCTAATAAATATATACAACAGTGTTGTGAGATATAAAATCAACACACAAAAGTCCATTGTATCTGTATACACTAACAATGAACACTGTGAAAAGGAAATTAAGAAACCAATTTCATTTATAATAGTCTCTAGAAGAATAAAATACCTAGGAAATTAAAGACTTGCCCAGTGACATGTACAAAATATTGCTGAAAGAAATTAAAGACTCAAATAAGTAGAAAGACATCCCATGTTTATGAACTGGAAGGCTAATATTGTTAAGATGTCAACACCAACCAAATCAATCTACCGATATATGTAATCCTATCGAAGACCAACAGGGTTTTGGGGTTTTGTCTTTTTTTTCTGTAGAACTAGAAATATCTGTCTGAAATTTATAAGGAGTCTCAATAGACCCGAAGAGCCAAAACCATTTTGAAAGAGAAAAAGAAAATTGGACAGCCAACGCTTTCTGATTTTAAAACTTACTATAAAGATATAGTCATCATTGCAAGAACTAGTATAAAGGACACATGGGCAATAACAAGGGGGGGTGGAGAA